TTGGAAAATTCCAGAAAATGGTATCATGGCTTTAGAAGCTTCTGGTAGGCTATTTGACATTATTTGGGTTAATTGGAGGTGTACCCATGGCAGTATTTTAAGTCCTACCTTCAAGGCCTACATGCCTCTTTGCTTGACATCATGGGTAGATCAAAAGAATTTAGCCAAGACATCAGAAAAAGCATTGGGGACCTCCACAAGTCTGGTACATTCTTGGGAGCAATTTCCAAACGCCTAATGTAACATATTCATCTGTTCAAACAATAATATGCAAGTTTAAATTCCATGGGACCACGCAGCCGTCATAATGGTCTGCCGCCTAGAGGTGAACGTACTTTGGTGCGAAAAATACAAATCAGTCCAAGCACAACAGCAAACGACTTTGGGAAGATGCTGGAGAAAACATGTACAAAGGTATCTACATCAACTGTAAAACGTGACCTATATCGACATGACCTGAGAGGATGCTCAGCAAGGAAGAAGCCACTACTGCAGAACCACCATTAAAAGAGCCACAGATCGTACTTTTTGGCGAAATGTCCTCTGGTCTGATGAAACAAAAATGGAACTGTTTGACCATGATGACCATTGTTATTTATAGAGGAAAAATGGGACGCTTGCAAGCCAGAGAAAACCGTCCCAACAGTGAAGCATGGGGGTGGCAGCATCATGGTTTGGCGGTGTTTTGCAGCAGGAGCGACTGGTGCACTTTACAAAATAGCTGCCGTTACTAAAATTATGTGCAGAAATTGAAGCAAAATCTTGAGGCATCAGTCTCAAGGACGTTAAAGCTCTGCACAAATAGGTCTTCCAAATGCACTGTGACCCCAAGCACACTACCAAAGTTGTGGTAAAATGACTTAAGGACAACACAGTGAAGGTAATGGAGTGGCCATCACAAACCTCCGATCTCGGTCCCATTGAAAATTTATGGGCAGAACTGAAAAAGCATGCATGAGCAAGGAAGCCTACAAACCTGATTCAGTGACACCAGTTCTGTCAAGAAGAATGGGCCAAAATTCCAGCAACTTGTTGTGAGAAGCTTATGGAAGGCTACCGAAAACGTTTGACTCAAGTTAAACAATGTAAAGGCAGTGCTACCAAATATCATGTGTATGTAAACCTCTGAGCCACTGTGATAAAAGAAATGAAAGCTGAAGTAAATCATTGTCTCTAGAATTATTCTGACATTTTATGTTCTTAAAATATAGTAAAATATAGTAGTGACCCTAACTGACCTAAGAGAGGAAATGTGTACTTGGAATACTTGTCAGGAATTATAAAAAACTGAGCTTAAATGAATGTGGCAAAGATGTATGTTAACTTATGACTTCAACTGTAGGGCTCTTTGAAGGGCTCTGTATGCTTTGTTACTGTTCAGTTTTCGTTGTTCTTTTTTATTGATTGGCCTTTTTCTTAGCCCTATATTTAGCATACAGTGAGCTTTGGGGAAGCGTATAAGCTTATATGTCAGTCAGTGACCATTATTGAGCCACTTCAGCCAACATGGCATTAACACGTATTGATTTCCACTTAGTGAAAGAAGGGGGATATATTTATGTGTGTTTAGAAATGTGAAAACTGTTGCTTTTATTTTTTTTTTTGTATCAGTCTCTGAGGATGTACGCTAATAAGTAGATAATAGACAAGGAGGCTCATTGCAGAAGAAAGGAGCGTAGTTATTCTGTCTATTCTGGTGATAAATGACGTTTAACCATGTCACTTTTGTAGCCACGTTCATTGTGACTTCTACTCAATCTTGTGTATTTGTGAATAATGTAAGTGTTCTTTTCGTGGTTTATGCTTTTTTTTTTTTTCCTGTGTGGTCTCTTGGGATGGAGTTAAAGTAGGCAGAAACTTCCATCCCAAGGGCTTTCACTTTAAGATTTTTCAGCTAATTAAAAGAAATGCTACCCAGCCTCGCCTCCATTTCCTCTGCCGGAGTGGCAGAGTCTCATTTAAACAGAGTGGTGAAAATATAACTGATTGCCATCATTCTCTCTCACCTTGAGCTGTCCTTCAGAAACTTCGCGATGATTATGCATCTGCACTTTTACGAGAGGAGTAACAGCATGGAGAAATTTTTCTTTCTCCATACGGACGACGGCTGCGGAGCGCCTGTGTAGAGGTGATGCTCAAAGAGGGATTAGGAGTGAATGATGAGGTCATGTCTTAGTGTCAGTTAAATGATTTGGTGCTGAAGAGCTGTACTAATCTAATCTGCTTTACTGTATAGTAGCACCCTACTCACTGCCTGTGGCTTTAATCATTGTTGGCCAGCTTGTTCATGCCTTATTTCATTAAAATATTTCCCTCTATTTTCTAAAGATAATCCGTCACAGGTTTGTGGCTTGTCACTTTTTTGTGTGTTATTCTTAACCGCTATCCTTGGATCTCACACTACTTTCCAGACACGTTTTTCTTTTCATTAGTTGCAGCGACTTAATGGCATATTCATCAGGAACGCCTCAATAGCGATTAAGTTTGCTGAATGTTTAATTAATGCACTTTGGTTCAGCAGCTGCTTTGCCCTGCTGTTTCTGACATTGGTTGACCGCTGCAGAGCGATCATTATTTGACCATAAATGTTTTTACATTTGGATGGCTAATTGTTTAGTTTGCCGTTTTGATAGATGTTTATTATGGTCCATCTTCTCATCTGGCTGTTTCCACTGCCCTGCTCATTAAGTCCATAGAGGGCATTTTAAGGCAAGGTGTGATAGTGCTTCTGAACCCAGCAATCGGCTGAATTTTTTTAAGTTGTCGCACCTACATAATATATTGCAGTAGTGAGCAAGTGTTAAAATGGCAATAATGAGCACTTTTCATTGGGCAAACAAAGGACACTGCATAAAAATGTGCTCAGCCCTTTTGGGACTAAGGGTTGCATGATATGGAGAGAAAACCAAATTGTGATTATTATGCTACATTTGCAGTTTTAATATGTCTTGCAATATATAAAAAAATCATTGTTGAATCCTTTGAAAGGCTCAGTTCATCCAATTACCTGAAGAACATTTATTCATGTCAGGATGCTCACAGCACAGTAGGCCTGACCGATACCTAAAAATAATTCAAATATTTATATACATTCAAATATAGGCTTAAAAAATTGTGGTTACCGATTATATCACCCATCTTCTCTCCCAGCCACTGTAACTTTCTGTTTTAACTTTAGTTTATATTTTTTAAACATTATGTTAAATTGTTCAATAAAATTCTTGTATTAAATAATGCAGTAGTGAGTAACATTGAGCAACATACTCCTGTCGTTTTAATAGTTGTTGCATTCATGAGCTCCTTTTGGTGTATGTACATGGCGACTTGCATGCTAGTAGGACCGCTTGATGGAGAAACTTCAGACACACATTCAGAATAAAGTCAACAAGAGAGTCACATTTATTGCAAATCACCAAAGGTCTGTCCCTTTTGGAAGTCTATTTGCTCATGTATATTTCCACAACATATACAAAATGACATCCCTACATTATCAATACAAAGTGATGCATGCAGCAAGCAGCAGCATCATGTGTTTAGTTTCACTTCATTTTTTGCATCGTGCCTCTATAAAATGCATGTATAAGGTTTAGTGGGTTTAGGGGGCATAAAGACTGGTTAGTGGTGGCACTCCTGGGTCTGCTAAACCACCGGTTGGTGGGGAACATTCTGCAAATTTTTGTGAGACTATATGTAACACTCTCGGAAACCTACAGCAGAGACAGTAGGGAAACTGAAATCATTGCTGGTGTCCATGTGTTCATTTGGTTTAATATTATTTTGCAAGCTGTTCAAAAGCAAATTTGTCCTTTCTTGTTTTCTGTCAGTTTGCTAACATGGAGATTCTTTGCCTTTTAAGCATTGTAATCGGGTTACTTGTCAATCATCAACGATATTCCATTACATTGCCCTATTGCCCAGGCCTACAGCACAAGCATTCAGTGATTGTTTTGAGGCTAATAATTCGAGCCTTCAGCAATTTTAGTATCGTATTCTGCAATAATGATAAACGAGCTATATGTTGTGCAGCCTTATTTAGAACAATATAAACACATCCTGAACTGTTTTGTGTCATGAGGTATGCGTTATTGTATAGAACTCTGTTGATATTTATTAGACATGTATCCTGTTTGCACTGTCACTCTCCCGGCTTTACAAAAGTACATTTTGCACAAGTAATTTTAAAGGTCTTGATCTCCCCTTCTCCCGACAATTGAGATCTTATCGCACGTAATATGAAATATTTAAAAACAAAACCCAAGCCTAGGGGTGAGATTTCTTTTTTGACCAACTTTCTTTTTTTTTTTTTTTTTTTGGGGAGCCGTTGTTGCCTTTGGCTTCGGAGGGTAAAGAGCAGCACTATTGAAAAATAAATTAAATGGGAAGAATGCAAAGATAAATTATTCAGCCAGAGTCTCGTGTGTTTGGATTCCAGCAGCCCCGAACCTGAGGTGTGCTATTCTCTGCCTGATTATCCGTGAGCAAGACCTGAGCAGAAAACCCAACACCTCTGTGTCCAGCCCAGAGCAGGGGCAATCAATAAAGCAGAGGCTGAGGAAGAGGGGGCTTCAGGTGGGGCTTAGCATTTTACCTGCTTCTGCCAAGGCTCAGGAGAAGGGCAAAAAGAGAGAGAAAGAGGGAGAGGTGATGGGGGGGGGGCGGGCTGACTTCTCCATGAATGTCTTCCTGACATGATGGGCTTACAAATGAGCTCACTAAAACTTTGATGAGCTGAAAGCTGTACATGATGGACATTGCTTGAGTGGACAAACCAACCTGAAATCTAATTCTTGAAAGTTTCACTGCTTCTCATTGCCAAAACTGAATCGAATGTGCTGCTACATCTCTCTGATGATTATCTCACTCAGTTAAAAACTGTATTTCATGAACTTTCTACACTTTTTAAAAAGTTTTGGAGCTTTTAACATGGGCACTTTCTGAGTGTAGCTACAGTTCTTTGTGACAAGTTTTCTGCCTAATGCTGAGTTTCTTGTTCTTTGTAGGGTTCGTACTGGGCGATTGACACGAATCCAAAGGAGGACACATTGCCCACACGGCCCAAGAAGAGGCCACGGTCTGGAGAGCGGGTGAGTGTGTGCGTGTGCATGTGTGTATATATGTATTATGTGTGTGTAAATGTGTGATCTCAGGGACCCCCTGGTGGTCAGTTTTCAGACATGCACACATTCTTTGGCCAAACACAGCTCATTAGCTGGAGTCTGGGAGTGATCAAAGCCCCGAACACAGTCAGAGTCTTGCATGGTTCCAGCTCAACGTCACTGATGCTCCTGGACAGCTCACAGGATGTAATGCATCACCACTGCATGTACTGCTTCCACACTTAACACACTGCATAATTTTTAACATGAGCGGTCATGGTGCCATTGATTATTTTGCGTTTATCCCTATAAACTTCTTTCTGTGTCCACATTCTAAGGCCTTTTAACTACTTGCAAAACAGTGTAAAACTATTAAGTTATTGCAGGAGTGAGGACTGACAATCCGGATGGGCCTTTGAAGGTTAAGGGTTTAATTAAGAGTAAAAGGTTTATTGGGCTTTTTTTTTTTCTAATCATTTTTTTCATTTCTGGGTTTAATGTACTTTTGAAGTTACCTCTCGCGAGAACTCAACAATGAGTCTTCAGCTAGCTATAAGAAGAAGCTAGCTCGGTATTGAAGCATGGGCATCATAGCAGATGCTCTGAATAGACCGAAGAAGAGAACATTATTGGATGAAGTGAGAATGAGAAAAGAGAGACCGAACAAGAGTAAATCCTGGACTGGCTTTTACTTATTGGTGAAAGCTAAAAGAGATAAAATGATGCAAAACAGTGTCACAGCTGACAGGGAAAACAATGAAAATCCAACAGCATAGTGTAAATCCTTGCAATTTAGCTCATCAACAGTTGCACGTTTACAGCTGTCCACGAGGCGGGGCTTACAGTACGATTTATATTTACGACAGTGGTGTAAAAGGGAAATACCCTCAAATGCAAATGTGGGAAGAACACAAGCAAAAAATACGAATGCTCCTATAATGCTGCTCTAAGCCACACTCACTTCAGTGAAGGTACCACAAAATATCTTTCAGAAATTAGTATTGAAGGCAATGTATTAATATTAGTGATGAGGAATTTTGAGCAATACCCAGCCCTGGTCATAGAATTTTTATTGACCCCATGTTCTTAGAATAACTGAACATGCCGATTTCAACTATGGTAACTGTTAAATCAGCTAGCTGATTTCTATAGCCTCCCTGGAATTTGATTATTTTTACCAAGACAATGTGTAATGTCTTGTTTTCTGTGGAATTTAATTGGCCAGTTGTTACAGGATAAATTACCTGCTTACTCAGATACCCTGGGTTCGAAATGTTGCCTAATTGTTCGCTTCAACTTCATCGTTACCCCGTAGGACACACTGAATAACAATAACAACACAGCGCATGTCTTTTAGCAGTTTTATTGTTTCATTAGTGCGAGATGGATCAGAAAAAGAGTATTATTATATAAGGATAATACTGCACCCACATAAACTCTTTTTCCATCTTGTTGTGATATGTAGTGTTTTTACTTAGGATTTAGTGAGTTTGTCACCCTTTCTGACACTCCATAAATATGAGTAGAGCTATTTCGGTCTGTTCACATCATTCAGACTAGAAACACTGTTTCCCATTGACTTGTACACGCATAAACACACACGTGCACTCATACAGAGGTTTACCGTTTTGGATGCTCGTTGCGACTTGCTTTTTATATAATAGCCTCTCTCAGTGTGGCTCCAGCTTATCTTGTAGAAGAGGGTCCAGCTTATTAATAAACTGTGCCCCAGGCAGCTATTACATACATTGCTTTCTGCAGTCTGTTTTTTTTAAGCAAACATCAATTAATGCAGAGTTTCTTCGCTGGTTATTTTCAGCTGGAGCTTTTTGCCTCCATTATTTATGAGTGGAGCTGGCTGAAACGCGCGGCTCCGAGCGGCTCCCAGGTTGACCTGCCTTGGAGGCATCTTGCATCATTTTGTCCACCTCTGTGTAGTGGATCAGAAGCAATTCAGTCTAGGGGTGGGGTCGGAGCTCCTGTCCCGCTGACTGTGGACATGCTGAGGGATAATAGCTTGCGTAGTTTCATCATAGCGGAATTTAGATTTGTGGCACGCAATTTGACTGATTGATTTTTTACAGACCTAGTATTCATTAACAGTACCCAAGTTTGTCAACAGTAAAAAAGAAAACATACAGACCTACAATTAAGTATTTTAACTGGACTGTAAAATGTGACAATTTTGCTTTCTGAGTAAGTACACATATTTTCAGTACAGTTTTCTACTAAAGTTGCAAAGGATTTGTTGTTAAGGATATGGCTGAGAAGGCAGACATGGTACGGCTGGGTCTGGCATGTCTTTTTTTTGTTAACTAGGCTAACTACTCTAGCTGATGTTAGCTAGTTCCTTCCACTGAGAAGAATAGACTTCGAGTAGAAAACGGCAAATCCTCATCAACATCCAATATTGCACAGGTTAGCTGTAGTGTTAATTCAGTAAGTTAATCTGAAAAAGCCTGTTTTACATTAATATTTATGGCTTTTGGCAGACTTACAACTCAATTATAAGGGTGGGTGAATGTAATGGTAGTAATCTTGCCCAAGCACTTTTATTGGTACAATGTAATGTGCTTGCCTGGGCAAGACATCGAACACCTTTCTTCAATGTGGAGGCTAGTACTGTTACTTACCGTGCTATACCATCTGCTATCCAACTATGGCCATTTTTGAATAACAGAAAATGTATTCCGCTGCATGCTACTTATTTTTTGAGCTTACGTTTTTTTTGTTTTTTTGTTTTTTTTGTTTTGTTTTTGTTGTTTTTTTTTGTGAATGTACATAATTTTTTAATGGATGTTGATAATGGTAAAATAGTTGTAAATAGGGAAAAATATATTTTCTCTTGGTACTATTAAGCCTTTCAATGACCTGCACATCTCTCAAGTTTAATGTGTTTGTAAAAGAATACGAGGTATGCCAAAACCTCTTTGCAAAAGTATCAATGTGTTAGGTATTAACTGTTTCCTGTAATAATTTCCTGTGAGAACTTTTAGAAGCATTAAATTCTTCAGATGTCTGGTTCCCATCACCGCTGTTGTAAACAATCCTGACTTGGGAAGTTTCTCAACAATGGGTTATGCGTTTCATATCAAACCACTCTAAGTGACTTTGTTTGCATCTTAACAGTTTAATTATGCAGTTTTAAATTGGTGTAATACCTTTAAGTGAAATGCTTCAATTAAAAAAGAGAAAAAAATATATAAAATTAGAAAAATCGGCTCAACATTACATAGTTAAGGTTTCAATATCGGTATGTTCACATGAATAGAAAAAATGGTATCATGATATCTGTGGTGTGTACGTGTGTCCTCAGTTGGGCTGTTAAAAATGCAGAGCTGTGGGCTTCAGTAAGAGGATCAGTCACTCTGCCCTCAGGCCACACACACACAGGCAATCTCCATTCACTCAAATCAAAAACCACCAATTAGACCCTCTTTCTTTCTAAGTCTCAAAGAATACTGCAGGATAGATGAGAGGGAAATGGACTGTGTGTGTATTTACGCTTTTGTGTGCGTGCGTGTGCGTGTGTGTGTGTGTGTGTGTGTGTGTGTGTGTGTGTGTGTGTGTGTGTGCGTGCGCACTGCACATATGCACTCTATTAGTGTTTTTATACACGCACATACACACTTTCTCTTTTTTCTTCCCCTCCCGCTGTCTCGTTTCAGAAATTCTCAGACATTAAAAAATGTGACTTAGTGAAATCTCATTTATGTTTATCATGAATTAAAAATCGCATTGTTGCCAGGCAATCCTCTTATAATAAGCAGTTTTTGGAGACAGGCATGCTAGAGTTATCTTCCTCAGCGCGAGCGCAGAGCACTTCTCCTCTGCTCTTCATCTCTGCACAGAATGGTTCCAATTTTGACCTAAATAAAGGTGTTGCTCTCTTGTTATTCATAAGTGCTTGCTGCATTTTATTTATTTATTTATTTATTTTTAAGTGCATGCACACTTGCCTTGACTTTAATTCACCAAGGTAATATTAAATCCCCTTGAACATGTAGTAATCAAATGCGGTGCAGATTATTCTGCATCTCTTTGGCCTGTATGGCTTTGACTTCCAGTGAAAGCTCAGCCTTCTCCTATTCCACAACCAACACATCTGGACCTCCTCTGGCTTGTTAGGTTTCATTTTAAAGGAATAGTTCATTGTTTGTTGCCTGGCATGAGGCTAGTATAGGAAACAAGTGTTGGAAGTGGCAGCTATCTTGCCTCAATTTTATATGTCCATCTTGGTAGGGGCTTAATTTTCATTATTTGTTACCTTGCTAGCTTTTTAGCTCCAGTGCTAAACCAGACAATGTTTAAAGGAGAAAAACTGGAATCCAGCTGAATGCCTACATTCAGGGGTAAGGGCAAAAATGTGTACATTTGATTTTTTTTTTCCTAAGCTATTCTTTTAATGGGAGCTTCTGGTTTCTCTGTAGGCTTCCACACCCTACAGCCTGGAGTCAGAGTCCCTGGGAATGGATTGCATCATCTCTGGAAGTGCCTCTCCAACGCTGGCAATCAACACTGTGACTAACAAGGTAGCCCTCTACTCTTTTTGTCCACTGAGATCTGATCCTTTTCCCAAAGAGCAGGGTTGCATGATATGGACAGAGTACTGTATTGCGATAAATTGTGGCATGCTGTGGTTGGGATATGACTTGCACTTTGGTAAATGCACTTGGGGACTATGATAAAAGCTATATACATCAATATTTTATGAGTCACAACCTTCTAAATGTAAATGTGTTCAAACTGAATTGAATACGTTTGAATATGGTTCAATATTATAGATCCAAGAACAAAGGCACATATTTTCAACTGTTTTTCTGACTTTAACTTGCACATACTGAATAACAATAAATTTTGTGTACGGTCTGTGTGCAAAAGGGGCCCACTGCGTTAAAGCTTATAAAAACTTGCTGATTAGAGTCTAATAGCAGTACAGCACAATTTTGTGTGGAGCAGCAAAACATGTAATCATATTTGGCCGAGTGAATAATAAACATAAACTAAACTAGCTTAAAATGTGTATAAACAACTACCTCTGAGGCGTGGACTTTAGCATGTTCTATACTCTGATGAGGAACTGCAGCTGAAGCTTCCTCAGTCTGATTCAATGCCTGTTCTTCCATACCCCTTTTGTTCTCCTTCCTTTATGCTGTCTATTTTCTTTGTGTGCTGTTGGCCTTTTTGGTTCAGGTATCATGTTGTCAAAACTGTTAAAAAGTTAAAATTTTGTACAATTAGGGTTATATGCAACAGCATTCCAAACAACAGCTTTTTAATATAAACCTTTAGGCAAAATAAATTATCTACATTTTTTCAGACATCAGTGAGGTAGACTGCCATTTGTAGCCTGATGTTTCTACCTGTATGCCCACATAATTAGGCCTGTTAAGAAATGGCCTGACTTACATTGATGTACAAACCCAGTTCCAAAAAGTTAGAACTTCATATGAGATGCCAGTAAAAACAGAAAGCCGTGATTAGTACATTGTGTATTAAATAGAGAACAGTACAAAAACATGACATTTGATACATTGCTCTCTGATTATTTTTTTAATGCTCATTTCAAATATAATGCCTGCAACATGTTCCAAAAATAGTGGGACAGGAGCATTTTTACCACTGTGTTACAGCATCTTTCCTTTATTTAATAAACATTTGGGGACTGATGACACCAATTGATCTGATTTTGAAAGTGGACTTTTTTTTGCCATTTTTCAGCTACGTAAGTTTTTTAACCATACAAGGCCTCCTTGTCATATTTAGTGGTTTATAATACACCACATTTTCAACAGGAGACAGGCAAGGCAGTCCAGCCATGATTTTGTAACATGAGCAGAATGTTTCTTTGTATTGTCATGATGAAATAAGCATGGACATCTCTGAAAAAGATGGCGTTTGAAAAGCAGCATATGTTTCTTTAAAAGGTGTATGTGTTTTTCAGTGTTAATTGTGCTTTCAAAAAAAACATGTGACGATAGACCCTGGCTGGTAAAAGTCTGTGAGGTCCTTTTCGTCTTTGGCCCCAAGAACACATCGTCTAGTATTCCCATAAACAATCTGGCTGGTCAGACCACAATATACATTTCCAACATGCTTCATTCCACTTTTGATGAGCTCAAGCCCAGAGAAGTCACCAGCGTTTTTGGATGATGTTGCCCAATTACTGTGCATTGTATAGTCTTAACTGGCATTTGCGCAGCGCCGAACAGTGTTTGACAATGGTTTTTCAGAGTATTCCTGAGCCTATGTAGTGATATCCATCACAGAAGCATGCCATTTTATAATGCATTGCTGTATGAGGAGATGAAGTGGGAAAACATACTTTGTTAGATATTCATTCATCCTTTAAGCCACTTTTCCTCCTGGGTCACGGGGTTGCTGGAGCCTATCCCAGCATTCATTGGGCGGAAGGCAGGAAGCACCCTAGACAGGTCGCCAGTCTTTCGCAGGTCAGACACACAGACATACACATTCACACACAAACTTACTAAGGACAGTGTAGTGTCTCCCTTTCGCCTGACTGCATGTCTTTGGACTGTGGGCGGAAACCGGAGCACCTGGAGGAAACCCACGCAGACACAGGGAGAACATGCAAACTCCATCCAGAAATGACCCTGGTCACCCCAGACTGGGGAATCGAACCCTGGATCTTTTGTTTGTTTTTCATTGGCCACCCAGTCATCTTTTTAAAAATACAACATACGTTTTTTCTGTTTTATGCCTCCCCTTTATACATTCATATCTATTAGGAAAGTGTTCAGATTTGTTGGTCTGTTAACTGGAATTAAGTTATGACTATGGCCACAATGATGATGCCACATCAGTGAAAACAGTTTGCTGAATGACAAGCACCTTTGTGGTAATTATTCATTTGATTGGCCATGGTCACTTAGAAATTAGTGTAAAATTGAGCTGGTATGTGTTCAAAAGAAGAACCCTTGATGTAACATGATTTAAAAACTGGTTTGCATTATACTTACCAAAGGATTCACATTTATTTGCTCTTGAATGAATACATTGATCCATGAAAACACCCCTAGAAACTCATCTGGAACATTGTTCAGAAAAAAAAGCAACAACTCTTCTCCATAAATATGATCTGTTAGCCATTCACACTGCACTCAGCCTCCATAGACAGTGCAGTGCACTTTGTAAATGTTCAGCCTTTATTGGAGTGTTTGTATATATTGTATGTGAAGTATGAAGGTCAGTACTGTAGTGTTGGCGCTGAATGCGAAGCTTCGCAAATGCAGGTTCTTATAACTCTCTAAGCCTCCGTACCTGTATAATACTCCCAGGTGGAGCACTTAAAGGGGCATCACTCTCCGACCTGTCCTCAGTAACTCCACTATGGAGAAAAGCACAAAGAGGCAGGGAACGCACCACTCTGAAATTTAAATAGGCTTTTTAACCTTAAGGCCTCCACTCTTGGCCTGTTGCAGGCTACTCTCTCTGGAGTGCTTTTAAAGAGCCTTACAGCATCAGCTATTAATTTACTCCAGGCATTAAACCAACAGGATTTCACATTAACCATGGAGTTTTGGGAGAGAACCAAAGAGGGATTTTTTTTTCCCTAAGTGAGGGTGCCATCTCAACCGCATGTTGGGGTGAATTGTATGATTGTGTATGTTAGTTTTGCTAATAGAAAGTTGGTGCTTCTTGGAAAGGGGCTTCATATGGTTGACTAACAGCAACAGAAGCTTATTCCTGCAGCTCTGGCAGTATGGTTCTTTAAAGTACATTGCAATTAGAGTTGTAAACCACACCATGATATTTGTTCATGATATAGTCTAACAATAAGCCCACGGCCTCACCATGTGGTAAAAACTTTCAGCATATTTTTACTTTATGCGACTGAGTCTGACCTTGCATTTATCAGGCAAGGGTAAGCTGGTCACAAATGACAAACATTGAAGGGGAATTACACTGATTTTTCAGAATTTCTGCATAATTAACCTATTAAGACATGCACCAGGCTCTGATCCTCGCAGGCCAAAACACTGCAGACTTCACACTGCCTCATTAAACACACCTGATTCAGCTCATCAGCTAATTAGTAAGGCCTTCATGAACTGAATTCAGAATGAGGGTAAACGCTAATGTCTGCAGCACTTTGGCCTATAAGATCCCCAGTTTGACATACCTGCATTAGGAAGTAAATAGTCATACAGTGTGGTCTGGTGTGAAATGTACAGTTCTAGAGGAACCAAACACCGAAGAGTTTAATGCCTCCAGAATCTCCTTTTCAAAAGCTACTAATTGAAATGGTTAGGAATGTATTGTCTTATGCCTCTGACATTTGTTTTACGATAGATTTGATATCAGGTTTAAGCATAAATGCATTCATAGCGGAGAGCTGCACCACAGGTCATTGTAAGGTAAAACAGAAACCCAAAGAAAAGGTGAAAGAGTGTTCCCTGGCAATGTCACAGCCGTCTGTAAGTCCATGAGAGCAGAATTGGCCTACTCACTTAGCTAAGTAGGACAGCCCTTCCTCTCCCCACATCACACAATTGCCAATGTAGGCATCTGTTGGCTGACATAACAGAATTAGCAGTTATTATTCTCGTCCAAGTGCATTGAACTGTCCAGTGACATTGTGTTGGCAGCTGTTTGAAAAGATGCAGTAGCTGGCTTCAAGTGACTTGGAGGAAGCATGTGCTAACCTTCTCCCTATCAGCTTGGTAGCACTTTGTGATGAGGAAAGACCTAGCTAGTGGGTTGAAATTTGCAGTGACTAAATTGGGTTTGTTTGCAGGCCCTGTATAATTGACCTAAATCCACATTCTTATACATTCATTTATTTAGTGTTTTTAGAAGTACCATAGCCATGATATACTCAGGAAATAAATGTGGCATATATATATTTTTTTTATATAATTTAACCTCTTCAACTCCTTGAGACCACCGGACTTTATATTCTTCATAACTTTCGTATTTCATAAGCTATATTCAAAAGGTGGGTGTGATGTGAGAGCTGTAACTGTCTTCTTTCCAGTCAAATAGATGGGTAATGTAATTTTAAACCTTTATAATAAAAGAAGCTGAACTCAGGTTTTTTTTTGTCTACTGAAAGTTGGCCCATTTTTCCACAAATCTGATAAATAAATATATAAAAATGTACATTTATTTCATGCAGTTACTGAATAATTTGCCTTACGATTTGGTCATGTAAATTCAGATGGACAAACCAAAATATACCCTGGAGAATAAGAGGTTAAAATCTCCAGTTGCCCTTTACATTGTATTAAAATTTCATGATGGGGGAAGAACATATTTTCAATACTGATGGCAAATTCCTGTTTCTAATATTTTTATTTCTGACAAAAAAGTCAGAAATACTCCACCATCTGTTGAGAGGTGGCTTTCTCAAGCTGCAACTCTGCTTCCCTTAAAAAAACTGACCTACGACCTGTGTAACCAAACAAATTCTGGAAACTTTGGACAATCCGTTGTATTGTTGTCAACTGTGTGAGATCTAAATGTGTCACTGTAAATACTAAATAGAGTGCAATAAAAAAAAAATGAA